CGACTTCTTCTTCTCCCCCCAAACACACACTCTGCTCTCTTGAGTGACGAGAGTGTCAAAGCCAAATCATTTCCTAGCAAAAAAGAAGTTTCTACAACGAGAAACAGAGAAACTGGGATACATTTACAAAAAAATGAAAAATGAAAAATAAAACGATTAGGAGAAAATAAGGGACTTTTTTCACTCATGAAGAAAAAGGAAATCGCTGTCTGATACTGAATCTCTGAAATGGGAACCAACCGACGCCACATGTGCCAAAAGAAAATTGCAGCCATACAGACACACAAACACACACTTTCCTAGACTCAGCTCGCTTTGATGTGTTAGGATATGCTGGTTTAAAGTTTTTTTGTCATTATATCCTTAGTACTACTCAACGCAGGAACTTGGATGACTCTTGGATACTTTGGGGAAGAGAGAATCATTCCAGTGTTTTAAAACATCTGATCATTCAATGATGCATGTATTTTTTTCTTATAGTTGCAATGCTTAACCGTGTCAGTATAGTCATGGCACAGAAGAAGAAAATGGTCCATAGCATGACAACATCGCAACACATCTAATACTATGGGCTGAATACCATAGTATCTCAAATTACTTCAAGTGTTACTGCTTCCTAACCATGCACCACAGCTGTTAGCAAGGGTCCATATCCTAATTCATTATAACATTAGCGCCACACATGCAGCTAAGAGGATTATTTTCTTTGACAAGAAAATCTGAATGACATAAATGCTGTACAAATATCCCCTCATTAAACCTTTTTTAGATAATGACAGATTGATGCTACAGATAGATCAGGGGCTACTGCAAGCTCACCATGCTCACAAACAAGAAGGCATTTTATGAAGCATCTGACTGATTAGCAAATTAGGAATGGCGCGTGTATTAATTAAATACCATCAAATAATACCTGACCATATCCATGTGCCCATTGCACATTGCTATAGAGTAGTTATGCTTAACGGTACACCAAAGGTGGAATAATAAAGGGTTGTATAAGGCTAAATCAGAGCTGTAGCAAATATCAAATACATGCTACTTATCTTACCTGTTCACAAAATCATCCATACTACAGAAAAGATGTTCAATCCATCCAAAATTGTACAAGGTTTGGAGCTGATTTAAAGCGATGGAAGCTTTACCAGGCCTCTTAAATTGAATATTTTAGCACAGTGACTGAATGTTTTTTTTTAATCTTGCAATCAGGTGCTTTGTCTGTTTCTAACACAGTTGCTCATCTTTTGCAAAGATGATTCAACAAAAAATGATCCCCCCCCCCCCCAAGTCTTTGGAAGTCCTCCAAATGAGAGCCTGCGGTTATTATCGATGCACAAAATTAACTTCTGCTTCAAGAAGGCGAACAACACAGGATTTCACAGATTGGAAAAGGAGAGGCTTTAAAAGTCAAAGGCGCAATTCATTTGATAATCATGTCTACCCTTGCTGTTCTGTAAACATCACAATTGAATCCAATGGCGGTACAACTTTAGGTTGTGGCACTGGTTAGCCATCCTATGAAGTCAGAAGGAAATGATATATGTTTCACTGTGTGAGTGTCGAACAGAGTGACTAGCAGCATAACAACAAACAGCCCTTTTACTGTCATCCCAGATTAAGGCCAAAGTTTGACCGTCAGTCTACGATGCAACACTGACTGCTTGTCTTATCTCCATGGACAGTCCAAGGTTGACAGACAGCTGTATCCACCCTGTTTCCACTCCCCCACCAGGAAAGCAATAATCATCATCCATCAGGAGCAGGAATGTCTCTTTCCCCTCTCGCTCTCTCTCTCTCTCTTCCGTAATCCCTCACTCAGTGTAACAACTGCCTGTAGCTTTGACCTGGTCCCGTTAATACATAATCTGCCATCTCCAGAACTAATATGCCATAACCTTCCCCCATCATCACGCTAGGCCTATAGCAAGGAAGGAAATTGCGGCTAGTGTGTCACGCAGGGTAAAAACTGACCTGAGCTGGCATCTCAACGCCTGGCCGGAGTCCACGAAAGGGAGCCAACAGCCTCTGCAGGGTGAAGGTAGAATAGTGGAGGTCTAACTGTAACATCTAGAGTGATTATGCTGGTGTGGGGGATGGGGAGTGAATCCTAGTTAGTCATATAGGCGGGGTCTTGCTCAAGGGTATTCCAGCAAGCATCAAATAGACTAAGGACTACCATCTAAATTTACTCACTGCTGTAACAAATGAATTATTTGAGGTTGTCAGACTTGGAGGAAGTAGCATAAGCTCAAAACAAATTGGATTTTAAGTAATGGAAAAGGGGCTTTTGTTGCTTTTACAATTTCATTCTTTCATCTGACAAAACACCAATGTGGAATTTTAATCATATTTTTATGTTTATAAAAGGCCTTGAATATTTTCCTTAAGCAAGAAAAGCCCCGAGATTTGTATTAATCCCATATGAAAATGAGTGAATAATTTATCACTCTGTCTTCCGGATTCATTAGATTTGCTAAACATTTTGTTAAAAAAAAAAGAGCTAGCATGTAAATATGCAGGCAGCATACTCTGACAACAGGCTGACCCTTTAACCAGAAGCAAATCTGCCTACCATCACCAAAAGCCATGTTGCCTAGCAACATACAATTTAGGAATATGCTTTCAGAGCAGCTTTACGCCTGTGTCCATTAACAGATGAAATTACCGAAGCAACAAATGTCAGCTCCATGCAAATAAGGTCTTCTCTGCTGACTGTGTGTGTTACAACAATGTGATGTGTAAATCTTTTCCAAAGCATGTGTCTGGAAGAGCAGCAGTGTGTTTTGGACAGACAAGCAATGGAGATATTTTATATATGTCTTCTTTCTTGGGCTTTAAAATCATAGAGAGGACAACGCAACTATCTCTAAAAATTCGCTTCCGTCTGCATTGCCACCTTTAAAGTCTATTTGAACCTATACTGGCAGTACTCAGAGACTCACAGAGAGAGGAAGCTGGTGAGGATGTAATGAGAATATCTGTGGATTAGTGCAGCAGTGGAAATGGAGGATCTGATGGATTAACCCCCCTTCTCATTACAACCTGCACAGAAAATGACACAATCATACATCGGCCATCAGCACAGTAATTCGATTTTATCTGTCCAGTGAGACTGCTAGCCTGTTAGTAAGTCCTGTTGAACGAGTCTTGATGGAGAAATCTGTTGTTCTTTCCCAAAATGTCTGAGACATGCTTATGTCAGGTCAGGGTTGTAAAAAGGGTTTTAAATACAATGTATAACATCCACTTACTAAATGCATTTAATTTTAAACAGGAGCTGTAACATAAGTGTTGGACACAATCCAATTCAATTCAGCTTGCAAACTAAAATGTTCTGCAGTCACTAAAACAATACATTCATGTCCTTTAAAAAACAGTTCCAATGAAAGTATAATCCTACTGGGAAAATCTGTTATAGAAAAAACAAGGCAATGACAATTGCTATTTGATGCAGGTTAGTGGTCCACCTGGACTGCAGCACTATTGCGTGAAGGATGTGCAGCAGGAGTTGCTGTGAAGCCTTTCCAGGCTACTCTGATGCACCCTTATTATCATAATGCAATAAGACATCCATGTTTACAACAACAGGGGCTAGGGGGCTTCGGGGAGATGGTGTGTGGCAGAGCAGAAAGGACTTCATCAAAAACAGCTGCAGTTACAATGACACCACAGCTTAAAAGCTACATACAGCAAATGCTGCAATCACAATTAAGGGACTTAATGCATGCTGGGTTGTTAAGGCAGATTATGACTTTAAGAAGTGTCCAGCACATTATTTACTAAGGGGCATAACAAACAACCAATAAGAACTTAATAGGGAAAAATCTCCTCAGATAATGCAATCATGCATACTGTACACAGATGCACACCACTGCAACATACATTTATGCCTGGACACCTCATGTCCACAGGCATTACTGCTCACAATGAATCAAAAGATGTCAAAGGTCAAAGATGTCTTCATTTGAACTGTCCGCACATGAATACTGCGACTGGCAGACAGAAACAGGAAGAATGTGCACAGTTGTTTTCATTTCAAAATGTCTTTAAAAGGGTGCTGACAGCTATTATTCCCAAATCATCCATATTGCACCTCTTCAGTGCCATTTAATGTTGTCTTTAATGGGGTAATGTGTCATTCTGACAAGAGAACAACTTTGATTACTGAAATAATAAAAGACTTCAAAGTGTTTGGAATTCTGACAAATCTGGCTCTCAAAAATAAGCAGACAGGAAAGTGGAATGCAAGTATAATTTAAGGATCGAATGCAGAATCCAAAAGTAGGGCAGGTTTGGAAAGTTATCCTTCACGGTTTAATCATAATCCTAAAAACAGATTTGAAAAAGAGATCTGCTGCAGCATTTGGATTTCATTCAACTGTCCTAGATAAGCGGAAAACAAGTACATCATCTATCTATTGTTGATGTAACAAGATCCAACACAGACCAGCAAACAGCATGACAGCTCTGACCAGGTAAAATGGTTTCACTGAATACTCATAACATAATTATTATGCTTGGACTTTCTCTAGGTCAAGTATCATGCATCATAAATAAGTGACCACTTTAAGCTAAATATACCTTGAATATGCCTCAATTTATTGATGTCTGCACCAACCACAACATAACACAACTCTAATTACTTGACAAAAATGCTATGCAAATACCAATCATTCATCACAATTAAAGACAGACATGTTTAGTTCAAAGAAATGACTACAATCTCATTGACTAAAAATGTCTCTTTGACAACTTGTGAAAGGATGAAATGATTCTAAAAAAAAAAACCCAGCAGAACTGCTTTGAGGAGCTTGTCATCAAAATTAAAGAAATGGGAAGTGGTGACTTACATAATGTTTGCCAAAAATGCTCTGGCCCAAATCCTTTTCCTTATCTATTAAAAACATATGATTTATCCAAGAAAAAGCAAGAGCGAATGTATCAAAAAAATAAGACAAAAAGCAGATGATGGGCATGAAAAGATAACAAAAAAGATTTACTTGTGTCTGGAGATGCCATAGTGGACACAATGACAGGTGGACCCGTGCGACGACTTAGCTTCTGGTTAGCAACCAGGGCACCTTGGCTGGTGCCAGGTGGTCCCATAGGGACAAGGGCGTTGTCAGATGAAGGTCCCCCACCCTTACGTATCATCTGAGGACTTGGGTGAGGGCTGTGCATGGGTGACAGTGGCAGTAAGTTCCTGTCCCTCTTCATCATGTCCATGGGCACTGTGTAGTTGGTAGAATATGCTTTTGGTACCTGCTGTGGTGGCTGTGGTAAAGATGGCATGGACACAGGCATCTGCTGGGGCATACCTGGCATGGAGTGCATAGACCCTGGCATTGCAGGCATTGACCCCGTCATCTGCTGTGGCATTATCTGCATCCCCTGCATGGGCATCCCAGGCATTGCCATCCCTGAAGAGTAGGCAGACATGGGTCTTTGTTGGATAGGCATAATGGCTCCAGCATATGGCCCTGGGGAGCGAGGCGGTTGGCCTGGGTAGCCACCAGAGGCTTCCAGGAGGTGCTGAGAAGGAGCACTGCTAGGCCTTCTTCCCATTGCCTCTCCCATCCTTGGGGAGATGGTGTGCATGGCCCCAGGGGTCTGCGGGGGCATCAGTTGTGGGTCAACTGTCAAAGCCTGTGAAGGGTGTGTATGATGGTGTTGTTGCTGCTGGTGATGGTAGACATCTGAGCGATGGCTGAAGCTATTAGAGCGGCCTCGCATGGGTGTTTGAGGTTGGGAGGGTGCTGGTGTAGCTTCAACAGGCCGTTTGCAGTTGTGCACCAAGCGAGATAGCACACGAGCTTGTCCGAGGTTTGGGGCAACGGTGCGAACATCGTTTTCCTCCATTACAGCTAGCATGCTAGTAGAGTCAAACCCTTGGTGGATAACAGAAGAGATGGTGCTCTCAGACAAGCCTTCATTTCGCAGTAGGGCAAGGAATTCTGGATCAACTGTTCTCTTGGGGTCCACAGGCAATGGCGTCTGTGGGGCAGTCGGAGGGAGAGCAGGAAGAGGAGCAGGAAGTGGAGTCACTGGGGGTGGAGGGACTGTAGTTGGGGCTGCCTGCACAGGTATAGGTGCAGCTGCAGCCACTGCTATAGTCTGCATTGGAGCAGGTGGAGCGGGAAGAGGAGCTACCATAGACAGGTTAGGGTCAGCAACTGGTATGGTAGGTGGAGGTTGCTGTTGCAGTTGAAGTTGCTGTTGCAACTGATCTTGTTGAAGCTGCTGTTGCTGTAGCTGCTGTTGTTGCAGTTGTTGTTGCTGTATCTGCTGTTGTTGCAGCTGCTGTTGTTGCAGCTGCTGTTGTTGCAATTGTTGCTGTTGAAGTTGCTGCTGTTGTATTTGTTGTTGCTGTAGTTGCTGTTGCTGTATCTGCTGCTGCTGTTGTAATTGTTGCTGCTGTTGTAATTGTTGTTGCTGTTGTATTTGCTGCTGATGTTGGGCAGTGTATGGTGAAGCTGTCTCTTGCCTCATTATCATTCCTTGACTGGCAGGATCTACTACTAGACAGGTAGCAGCCTGTTGTTGTGGATCCAGTGGGCGGCCGTTCACATCAGTATAGACAGACTGACTGGTCAGAGGTGGAGGCTCACTGGCATAGCGAGGAGACGCATGCTCCATACCATAATGAGCAGGAGATGGGTCTCGAGAGGGGATGCGCTGTTGGCCATCTGGTGTCATTTTGGCAGCAGTTACAGCACTAGGTTCCCTATAAGCCCGATTCAACTCATGAGCGGTCGGCGGAGGTGGAGCAGGTAGAGGTGATGAAGGGGGTTGCGGTCCAGCTCTCCCTCCCTGAGTTTGATCCCAAACAGCACGAGTCCCAGGAGTCATCCCAAAACGAGAACCTGACCTACTGAGTGGATGAGGATGAGTTGGCGGAGGCTGCTGTTCTGGCCGGTAAAAACCCTCAGGTGTCCGGGGAGTCATGGCTGGGTCATGGGAATAGTAGTCCGGGTGAGGAATGGATCCTCTGTGAGCCATGGATGCACGTTCGTAGTGGTTTAGATCAGGGACAGAGCTCTTTCTCAATGCCCGTGGATCGTGTCGCTCTGCGTAAAGAGAATCTTGGTAGGAATATGGGTCACGTTTTAAATCCAGTTCAGGGTGCTGCACTCCTGGTGGAGGCTCGTACCACCCTCCTCCCTCTCCGTATGACAGAGAGCTCCGTCGGCCAGCTACTCTCCCCTGCTGCTCGTAGACACTCTCAGACCTGTCCCACTGCCCCTCATTCCCCCCTAATGTGTCCCAACTGTGGGAGCGACCAAGACTCAACTGTTTGTTGGGGACAAGCATTGGCAAAAAAGGAATATGCCAAAGAAAGTGTTAACAGAAAAAAAGCACAAAACAAAGAAAACGCTCTGCTTGAAGTTTTGTTCTTAAAAGTTCTCTTAAGTCCTTGTGTATTGTAGCTGTGGAACAGAGAGAGGGAGGAGGAGAACAAGCAGAAAAGAAGATGAAGCAGGGTCTACTGTTCACCTGATATCAGGTTGTAATATTGTAAGTCCGTACTATCGGGTGACTCCTCCTTTGGCTTTGGTCCTTGAATAATTAATCTCTGGTCATGCTGGCTTGTTGTGCATGAGGAAAAAGGATACCACACACAAACACGTCACACCAAACTAAACCAACAGTGGACACAGCAGAGGCAGCACAGCTACTCCATGAAAGACATAGTAACAGGGAGCATGCTTGAGATTGCCACTAAATGAAAAAAAAAAAAAAAGACAAAAACGAAGGGAGGGGATAGGTTGGGTTGTAGGTTGGGATGGGCTTTTACTAATCCAACAGGGTTTATCTCTCTCCTTCTCCGGGACGTTTTACTCGCTCTGCCGATTGCTATGAAGGATTACAGCCAAATAAAGCCTGTTTAATTCCACTTCCCACTATGACGTCACGTGAACCAGATACAAGCAGATCTGGTGATGATGATGATGATGATGATGATTATGTTGCTGATGATGATGCCTACGAATAGAGTCCAAACCCCAAACCCCTTACCCTCGCATGCGCATGAAGAGTCACCTACCTGAGGCTGTTGGTGATGTATTGTCGTCAACAGGTTTCAATTTTTAGTTTGCCAGATTCACAGCGTGGGGAGGGGAGGCCAGGCAAGGCAAGGCAAGGCAAGGCACAGAGCTTCATTGAATACAAATGAAATACAGTTCTCTCTGCTAAGTCCCATGTGCTGTCAGTAAACATCAAATCCACACTGATTGGACACTAATCCTCCAGGCCCCATGCCTGCAGCAGAGCCACCAAACAACTGCTGCCCAACTCACTGAAATGCCCTTGATGCGCCCCGCTCTCCTCAATTACAGATCACTACAACCTAACCGGCTGTGTCTATGTTGACTGGAGAACATTGAAAATTACAAGACATGGGTTGCATGGAGATTGCAAAATGCAATCCACCTACAAGTTTGTCCCATTTGCCCTCCCAATGAAAATCATTTCAAGCTATAATCCACAAAATGTTGATGTTACTGTCTGTCTTGTAGAATAAAAAATACAACAATGTAAAATGCATCACTCAATCTCAATTGTTTGTATCTGTCTCTGTATGTTGCGACACAAAGTTAGCATTTTATGCATTTTTGCTTTCAGAAAAAATGGTGCACCCCCCCCTCTTTTCTAAAGCTCTTCTGATCTCCTTCCCTTAGACAAGTGGCATAATCTGGATTTGCCCCTTTGCAAAGAAAAGTAAAACACAGGGGGAGTGGGGAGTTTGTGCATCTGTGTATGTGTGTGGAAAGGGGGGAGGGGTTCATTTTGTGATGACAGTTAATCCAAATCACCTACAACCTTTGCCTTACAACATGCTCGTTGAAAAACACAACACAACAAGAGCTCATCTTACTTTCTTTCACATTTGATAAAAGAAGGTCTGCTTGTATTTAAGACAATAAAACAACCAATAACAACTTTGTAAGACTCAATTAACTTCAACTTGTTCAGCTGTCAGGCGGCCATCATGGGGCAAAGAAACATTTGATATAATTCTACATTATTATATTAACATGGAACCATGAATCGGTAAATTTACAATTAGTTATTTAGTTTAACCATGGTAATGTTCAACATATGCCTCTAAGGGTTAACCTAACTATGTAGCTGACTGCATGTTCTCATTTCATGTTACTCTGAAACCTGATCCCTTCTGCAGAGGATCCCTGATTATTAATGCATGGAAACAGCTGTAAAGTGAGGAAGTGTCCAAAATCTAATCTCAGAGCTAACCACAGTCGGGGTCAGCAGTACGCATTTTACTAGACTATGAAGCAATTCTTGTTAATATCAGCATATTAAAGTTCCTGTTTTCTAACGGAGGGCCTGTTGATACTGTGGGGGCATGACGCTGTCTGCACTATCTTGTTTAATCACAGTTGTGTAATTAGAGTGAGAAGAGATCAGAGAGGGAGAATAGTACTCTGCTGTTTTCACAAGATGACAGGGAAGAGCTGATGACGGTGGCTCCGAAAAACCAATTTTGAGATGACTTGAGAACTTTTTTCGCTTTGAGTGAGGTCAGAGGAACATTTAGTCAGCTATATGTAAAGCGGAAATTAAAATGGGAAGGAGAGGAGGCAAGTGCGAGCACTCGAAGTGATCTAATTCACCGTAAAAGATGAATTTTAAATCAAAGCTGCGTATTGAAAAAAAAAACAACATTTTTGTAGCCAAATTAAATTTTATTTTAAATGTTGCTTTTACAAAGTCAATCTAGTTTTACAGTCAATGCAAGTTTAGATGTCATTCATCACCTGGAGGCACATAGTAGCTCCTGTGTTTTTATTCTGAGTTTATGCATAAACCAACACTCCATACAGAAATGTATACCATTCCTAATTAAAAGGATCGGCCAATCAATGTAATTCCAAGGTTAACTGTCTCTTTTTGAGACTTCAGCGTAACCACTTGGAGTTAGGAGAAACTGTTCAGAGCCAATATACACACACATACACAAACACACACAAACACACATATCTATGTCGAGAGCAACGGCCTGTAGAGTACATGTGATCCTCTGGCTTTTTTCCCCACATCCTCATCCACTCCTCTCATTACTACTTCTAGCCCAGCTCTCGAGAGACTCCGGCTCTCGCTGCAGCAGATCACTCATCCCCATGAAGTCAACTTCAAACACAGTGTCGGGGGCAGAGGTGTGTACTCAGAGTTTGCCGCTCTAATCCTGACAGGAAAGTAAATCGCAGAGTTCTGTTTGTCTCCAACTAAACAATGTTTGACTTTCAAATTCTAATGTTCCTCCATTTGCCATACTTGCCAGACTGTGCACACAACTCCAGCTTCACTGTAACAGAGGGATTTATGGAATTAAGCTGGGGATTTTGGAACAAATATAATACCACCCCAGCAGAGGCTTATAAAGACCTTACATTGAATAAGTCTTGACTGGTGGAAATTTCAAAATGGGGAAAGTATAGAAACCCTGATTTAGGAATGCGATTGTGTAATTCACACAGTAACACAAGAAGCTCGCGGCTGTATATTCTACAATGACTTTTCTCTCAGAGTTCTTTGCCTCCACATTGAAGTGATAAGTTGTGTCAGTCAGCATGTCCTTATGTGTAGAAACTGGCTGAGAAACAAACACAGAAGCTAGGTCATTTAGTCGTGTAAAGTTCAACAAAAAAGAAGAGTTGTGCAATTAACTGCAATTAATCGTTACCGCAATATATGCATTGTCAATAAGCATATTGCAAAAGTCTGAATTTATCGCAATAGATAAGGAGTTTCATGTCATCAAGCTATACTTTATTAATCAGCATGATTTATTTGAGCAAATACATGATGGCCTCTGTATAATGGAAATGCTTTCAGAACCATTTTCATGCAGTCAGATGAAGATAGCTATAAGCTATCCACCAATGCAGTTGTTACTATGCCTTGATCTCTCTTTTTTATGACTGTACAGTGTCTTTGAGTTCTGTTTGAGTGCTTTAAAAGAAAATAACATTTCTTTATTGTTATAAAAAAAAACGAGATTCAGAGTGGCTCAATAGCGGTGTATGCAGTATGCTGCACCACCCCTTTTTTATTTATTGAGTAAATTATTGGTAAAGCAGGGGTCGGTAACTTGCTCGCCAGCAATAACATCTGACCCGCAAGATTATTTTGATTGTGAATTTTATTCATCTTATTATTATTTTTAACAACAACGCCATGACAATCAGTGGCAGACACAAACATCGAAAGCAGCGCTGCAGACGGTAGACAGTGCCTGGTGCTGAAGCAGAGCACTGCCACTCTAACTCTGCTCAGCTCTGTTGACAAATGCAGCTCCCGGGGTGCTGCGTTCAGCGGGTAAGCAGAGTAGAGAGGGAAGAGCGAGAAACGGAAACTAACACACAGGGTCATTGAACTTTCCATAACCACAAACTTCTGCTTCCAACCAACACAATAATCTGTCAGGATCATCACATAGTTAAATGTGTGTTTTGGTTAGCGGCAGGGGCGGGACTTAAATACCACAGCTTCACCAGCCAATCTCGGGAAGACTCTGGCTCCAAACTACCAAATGCAGCATGTCAGAGCTTGTCACAGGGGGGGGGGGGTTGTTTTGGTTTCAACTTTGTACAACAAGAGGAGGTGAAGACGAATTGATAAGTACATCATTGAGCTATGTCAGAAAATACAAACTATCCCTTTAATATAACAAGCCAGCAAGAGAACCAGAGGTGTAACTTCATTTTTCAAGTGTGTGCATGTTTTAAACTAAATGTTTGCAGGCTTAGCCAAATGTCAGAATCAGAGGAGTTCACATGCAACAAGCCCATTAAGAAAATGATCTGTCACTCACACTCGCTTCCCCATCCACCCGCCCACTCAGCCACTCACTCACACACACACACACACACACACACACACAGAGAGCACACACTCTTTCCTCGCATGTTCCCGACATCCCCACCAAGCCTCCTGACCCCGCTCTGCTCGTCTTCTTACGTGCAACAGAGACAGCAGCGGCCATGGAGCTTCGTTAATGTCCCTTTTCATTCACGCACGCTAAACCGCTGCTAAAGCCTTGGCCTCGCTCTGACGTGCATACATGAATATGAAATCGCACGCTAACCCAACGTGAATGCTGCACACTGCAACAGAAATAAAAACAACTGTCTCCTACAGTGTGACACGTCACGTACTTAAGGCATGAGTTGAATGTTAAACACACATTGACTTATGCATGAGCGAGGGGCAGGAGACACTAACTGGAGATGGGATTACAATGCTGAGGAGAACAACGCTGTCAGATGAATTGTAATGCACACTTAACAGACATTATGTACATGGCTGCCTTGAAGGGGATTCCAGTGGGATTATTTGTTTCTGAAAGCAGCTCCATGGGGACTAAATGGACTGTAAAATGGAGGTCGATGGCAATGAAGCTGGCACTTATCTTAATAACATCATACTTGGTTAGTGTAACATTCTGAATTGACACACAGCTTTTTATTTTCCAGGTTCCCAAGCATG